TAAATAAAATCACATTCTGCTTTATATATCAGAGCAACATACAAAACTATCATGGTGTACAGTCTACATTTTGAATCTATACAGTGGCCTAGAACTAATTAAAAAGTGAAGAGGAAACCTGACTTTTTTTTTTTTTTTTTTTTTTTTTGAGATGGAATTTCACTCTTATTGCCCAGGCTGGACTACAGTGGCGAGATCTCAGCTCACTGCAACCTCCACCTCCCGGGTTCAAGTAATTCTCCTGCCTCAGCCTCCCAAGTAACTGGGATCACAGCCCGGAGCCACCACACCTCACTAACTGTGTATTTTTAGTAGAGACTGGGGTTTCACCATGTTGACCAGGCTAGTCTCGAACTCCTGACCTCAAGTAATCCACCCATCTCGGCCCCCACAAAATGCTGGGATTACAGGCATGACCCACCAATGCTGGCCCTGACTTATATTTATAACAAGCTCAATTCAACACAAATTTCATTCAGTCTAGATCATTTGATCCTTGGGAATGCAAAGATCTTATTTAACTAAAATTTCAATTACTCAGGTCTCTGAGTATATTACCTGTAGTTTCTGCAGACAGAAAATGTTGTAGACCAGGCATGCTGGCTCATGCCTGTAATCCCAGCACTTTGGGAGGCCAAGGCAGGTAGATCACTTGAGGCCAGGAGTTCCAGACCAGCCCGGCCAACATGGTAAAACTCTGTCTCTACTAAAAACACAAAAATTAAACACTGTCTCTACTAAGAATACAAAAATTAGCGGGGTTTGGTGGCAGGCACCTGTAGTGCTGGCTACTCAGGAAGCTGAGGCATGATAATTACTGGAACCTGGAGACAGAGGTTGCAGTGAGTCGAGATGGTGTCACTGCACTCCAGCCTGGGCGACAGAGCAAGACCCTGTCTCAAAGAAAAAAAAAAAAAAAAAGAAAATGTTTCTTGCTGGGGAGTGGTTCCCATACAGAAATCCAACTTCTTTGGTCATCTCAAAATACTACAAATGGTGAACTTATTTGTAATCAAAACTATAAATTCAGGATAGTTATTTTAAAGGACTCTGCACAGGATTTGATAGCTGGTTGGTAGTTATGCTACTGGTCACCTCAGCTGTAACATTCTCACTGTAGCTATTATCAATTTACCTACTCAGAAAGGTGGAATCACTGAAGTTATTAAATGTGCAGACAGAACTCTTCATGCAGATAATTTTTACTTAATGATTTAAAGCTATTAAATGCTTTTGTTACCATAAAGCCCAGTACATCACAATTGGTGAACTGAGATGAAAATTCAACAAATTTTATTTGATTTGAGGCTGCACAGACACAAGCCTCTGAAATCATTTGAAGCATATTTTTCCTAACTTTTTTCTTCATAAAAACTGCATGTTTTACAAATTATGATGAAGCAGGTCAAATCTTCCCATTAGTATTTCTATTACTGTATAGTAATACAAGATTAAGTCTTAATGGAAATTATATTTAGAAGCTATGGCAGAAGCTATGGCTTACATTTTCTGAAATTGATTCTATTTTTAAATTTTCTTGTCAATGGCAAATAAACATGCCATAAGTGAAAAGTAAGCTAAAATGCATGTTTACCCTTTTGATTTCTAATAATGAAAACTGATATTTATTGAGCATTTACCATGCGCCAGCCACTGTGTAAAATACTTTTTTGCACATTATTTCATTTAATTCTCACAAATTCATGAGGTAGGTTATGTTATTACCACTTATCCAATGAGGAAATGGTTAGGTTAAGAATTCTGCACAAATACTGGTTGTATGACACAAGCAATCCTGCCATTCTTTCTTTTTTCCTTTTTTTTTTTTGAGACAGGGTCTCACTCTCACCCAGGCTGGAGCACAGTGGCATGAACATGGCTCACTACAGTCTCGATTTCCAGGCCTCAAGCAATCCTAGCACCACACTTCCCGAGGAGCTGGGACCACAGGTGCACCCACTACACCTGGTTAATTTTTAAATTTTTTGTAGAGACAAGGTTTAGCTATGTTGCCCAGGTTAGTCTCGAACTCCTGGGCTCAAGCAATCCTCCTGCCTTAGCCTCTCAAAGTGCTAGGATTACAGGCATGAGCCACCATGCCTGGCCAATACTCATACTTTATGCAAATTTTTTTTCAATTGTTATCAAGTAGGAAATCTAATTAACTTCAGTTTCATTAAATTTCATCTTTACTTCCTTCCTATCCATGGCTTATAAGAGAACTTATAAGTGTTAATATGAAGCAACAAGGATTATGGTAAATAGGGAATTAATAATCTAAGATAACTAAGAGTTGGCCATATTGTTATTATAATTATACTGAAGCTTATTTACATATTATTTGTTTTCTATTGAAGCCTTGAGTTCTGATGGGGGAAGACCACGATTTTGATTAAATACAAAATGGGCAGTTAAACCTCTAAATAGTATACACTTTGGAGAAAACTGAAGTACATTTAATTATTTGGATAATCATTCCTGATTTTTTTTTATTTTTATTTAATTTTTTTTTTTTTTTGAGACGGAGTTTCGCTCGTTACCCAGGCTGGAGTGCAATGGCGCGATCTCGGCTCACCGCAACCTCTGCCTTCTGGGTTCAAGCAATTCTCCTGCCGCAACCTCCTGAGTAGCTGGGATTACAGGCACGCGCCACCATGCCCAGCTAATTTTTGTATTTTTAGTAGAGAGGGGGTTTCACCATGTTGACCAGGATGGTCTCGATCTCTTGACCTCATGATCCACCCGCCTCGGCCTCCCAAAGTGTTGGGATTACAAGCGTGAGCCTCCGCGCCCGGCCAATTTTTATTTTTTTTAAGACGGGGTTTCACAATGTTGGTCAGGCCGGTCTTGAACTCCCGACCTCAGGTGATCTGCCCGCCTTGGCCTCCAAAGTACTTGGATTACAGGCATGAGCCACCACGCCCAGCCTCATTCCTGATTATTTAACTTACATATTTATAAGCATAAATAAAATGTACAAATGCAAATACTGCTTTTTTTTCTTTTCTTTTTTGGAGACAGGGTCTTACTCTGTCACCCAGAATGCAGTGCGGTGGCACACTGTAACCTCAGCCTCCCAAGTAGCTGGGACCGCAGGCACTGACCACCATGCCCAACTAATTTTTTGTATTTTTTTGTATAGACAAGGTTTCATCATGTTGCCTAGGCTGGTCTTGAACTTCTGGACTCAAGCAATTGGCTTCGCCTCAGCCTTCCAAAGTGCTGGGACTACAGGAGTGAGCCACCCACCTGACCAATACTGCATTTTTTGACTTCCTGTTTTCTATCCTTTAGATCACTGATTTCTTGGACCCAGTGAAAACAAATTTTTTTCAAGTTGAAAATTTTAAGTTAATGTAATCATTCGTATTTGAAGGATGTCATGATTTATTTTTTTAATTTAATGTCTTTACTATTGAAAATATTTCTTATTATAGTTTATTTATACCCTAAATTAAAAATAAGTACACACTTCATATTGGCTTCTGGATTTGCTGTCACTTTGCTACAACAAAACAAGTCTGGGTTTATACTGGATGGGTCACAAAGCAAGAGTTTGGACTTTATCATTGGTTTCAGTCCTATTTTTAGAGGTATGGGGATACAAAAGAAGTTCTTAATTTGGAGACATTTAAAACCGCTTGCCTGGTTTTCTTCAGGAAGGAAGCAAGCTAACTTCAGGATCATCACAGCACCCTTTAAATATGTAATACTTGTTTTGTTCAAAATGAGTATGTTCCATATCTTATCACTCAGTGTATAAAATATCACTACCACTGACATCAATGGAATTTTATGGGAAATTGGAATGAGTTAGTAAACTTTGTCAAGTAGGCATTTTTCTCCTCCCTCAAAAAGTTATGTGTGCAAGTATAAATCATCAAAAGGATACAGATTCTTTCCATCTATTGCTTACAGATTGTTGTCTAAAAAGGCACAAATTTCATGGACAAGTCTTTATCTCCATCTTTCTTAAAATAATGCAGAACATGGGAAAAACTTTTTTATACTGAAGTCCACATTATAGATAAGAAAAATAAATCCAAGTGACATGGCAGATTGGCAGTGAATTTTCAAATATCAGTAATTTACAGGATTTTCATTAGCATTGTTTCCATGTTTTCTGTAAGATATGAACATTTAAATTGGTAAGAATGAAATTTGCATGTAACATTAGTTTTTCTTATTTGTACTATTTAAATATTCACATTTTGACTTTAACTTAAGACGTTTCATTCAAAACACATCTAAAAATTAGAAAATGCCTAAAGGGAAGCTTTATTTACTTGGTAGAAAAATTGAAAAAAAAAAACAAACAAAAACCATATTCTTCACGGTTTCAGAGGTGACAAAAATCTACTATATTTCAGTGGTTTCTGATCTTCCTTAAGGAATTTGAAAATTGTATATAATGTTGCATAATCTTAAGCACCTTAATGTTAAAGTGCTATTGGTCTATTTTAATTGTGTACTTCTTACAATATAAAGAATTTATTTGGTAATGCTGAATCTATTGACCTCACAAACACTGTCATTATTTTGGTGGAACTATTCATAAGCATTTATAGTTACCGATTTCTAACAGTTGTTTCTTATCTTCCTGATTTTACAATTCCCCAAAGTAAAGGTGCAAAAAACACACATCTACCCTCTTTTTCGACAAATGCCATGATGGGGGGAGACCTGTGTGGTGTAAACACAAATGCAGGCCTTTGCAAGTTGATGGTTTCAAGATTCAATAAAAACTTGAGAGTTTTTGCTTCAAATCCCCACGCTAGTTTGTTTTAGCTCTACGGGATGCGTGTCCCCTACCCCTTTCAAAGGACCCAGGCAACTCGGTTCTTGTCTGCAGTTTCAGCGCGCGAGTTGGAGTTGGCAGAGTTCAATTGTTCAGGGTGCTGAGTCGGGGGCAGGGCAGAGGGACGCTCACAGGTCCGGTGGTCCTGCAGGCTGCGAGCCCCCAAGGCCAACCCTAGCTGGAACCGCAGGCCCCTCCCCAAAAACATCCCTAGAAGGCGTTTCCTTTGTTCTTTCATTCAACAAATAGTTGTTCAATTTCATATGCTCTCTGTCTTGGGAAAACCAATTCAGGCCTCTGGAGCCCCAACACAGAGGCACTGTTCCCGCCTTACTAACGACCCAGTGAAGCCAGGAAGAGGAATCTCGACCACTGCTGCGCAATACCACGTGTGATTTATTAAATGCCGTCTCTCTGAGTCCCAAGTGGCCGGGAGCATTATTGCCACCTCCCTTGCCCTCATCTCTCGCTACCACGCAAGAAAGCGTTAATCGCAAATAGTGACCATAGCCACGATCCGTCGTTCCTGCTTCCAAGCAAGCCTTGTACCAGCTTCCTCATTTTGCGAGGCTCCACTCTCTTGGGCTTCAGGCTGCGGCTGCGCCTCCGGGACCAAAGGCCAATCGGGGTCTGAAAGTCCCGGCCACAGACATCTACAGGCGGGTGTAGAATAGCGCACCCGCGTGGCGGCGGCCCGGGGCGTCTCAACCGGATTTTTCCATCTCTTGCGTAGGCTTGGTCCCCCGTACACTCCAGCGGAACTACAACTCCCAGCACCGTGGCTGCCCGGACTCCCGGAAGCCGAAGCTCTGCAGGGAGGAAGCAGCTGAGACCCTGCCAACAAGCCGGGGGGTTAATTTAGCCAGAAAAGGGGGCGGGAAGGGCTCTGGGGCACCTGTCAATTCGCCACCATGAACGTGGTTTTTGCTGTGAAGCAGTACATTTCCAAAATGATAGAGGACAGCGGGCCTGGTATGAAAGTACTTCTCATGGATAAAGAGACGGTGAGTTTGCTTTTGCTCGGCATTTGTAAAGGAACCCTCTCAACCTTACAAAGGCTGGTTTCATTCCACTTTAGGATTTAGCATTTAATTTAAAGATGTGAAAATGAGGGTCAGTTTGTGTGGAACTGAAAAGTTGTATAAAGCTTGCACGGGGGATTTTCAGTCTAAATGGCTCCAGCCACTGCCCAGAGACTACTTCGAGCCGGAACAATTTATTGGAATTAGAAATCTTTTTCTAAAAGCCTCTGCCAAGAAATCATTAATATGTCAGAGCCCTTGGAAGACTTTGGGATGGGCCCACTGTTTCCACTCAACATTGTTTTAAAGTAAAGCTGTTGGAACTCAAGCTGAAATGACAGGTTATTTGTGGGCCACAGACCAGAAAACAAAACTCGTTAAGGTGATAGAAAAAATTATTTTTGGAAATGTATGGATTGTTCCTGTTCAAAGAGAGGATTTTTTTTTGTTTTTAACCTTGAAGCTTCAGCTGAAAGGATAGAACATATTTTTCATTCTCATGTGTTACCTACCTGTTTGGATGTTCAGTAAATGTTATTCCATATATTACTATTTAATTTATCCAGCCAAGTATTAATGAAAAAAGAGGCTAGATATTCTACTTGTTTTTATTATTCTAGACTAGCATAATTTTAGTTAATTCTTTGTTTTTACAGACTGGCATAGTGAGTATGGTATACACGCAATCGGAGATTCTTCAGAAAGAAGTGTACCTCTTTGAACGCATTGATTCTCAAAATCGAGAGATCATGAAACACCTGAAGGCAATTTGTTTTCTTCGACCTACAAAGGTACTGCATAAACTGAGCTGCCATCTGCCCAGGCAGATGCAGAACACTCTGATCTGAAAGCATTAGGCAGGCAAAATAAATTTGTATTATCATTATTTGTGGCATCATAATTATCCTGCATCATCAGTGTTATAACCTTCATTCTTCTCGTTTTGTTTCCATATTTCAGTTGACCCCCTACAGCCAGTTCTTCCTTCAAGATATCTTTTAGGTTCACAGCTATTCCCATTGCCACTAATGAGCTACTCTCAACAGAGACCCACATTACTTTATTCCTGGATTAACCTCTGTACCTGTCACATTGAACACCATCAACACTTTATTTTATGTACAGCTATGAATGTCTTGAATCTTTACCACTTTATTCACATTTATGCTCAGGAATCTGTAATGACTCAATGTTACTTCCATGATTAAATCTTTATTTAGCCAGCAGTTAAAGCCCTTCTTTAGTTGATTTGCACATTTGTATCCAGCCTTCCTGTGTCCTAGATCTGCTCCTCCTCTATAGCCAGCTAGGCTGCCATTGGAATGAGCAATTCTGCATGCTCATTCCTGTTCCCTGTTTGTTTTTTTTCTTCCACTAATTAAAAGTTCTTTGGTCATTTGTCAGTTTTCGCCCATCACCTTCTAAATCTAGCTTGAGTCTCTCCTTTAAAAATCCTTCCCTATTTTAGTCTTATTTTTTATACTTTCTTGATTCATATTCATGTTCTTCAATTCTAATGCATTTTATCATGCTTGTGCATTATGTACTTTCCGAAATGCAAATTTGATCGTGACACTCCTTGAAATTCTTGAATGACCTCTGATTGCTTTTATGATAAGGGCAAAACTCCTTAATTGTAGGCTTCAAGGTGCAGCATGGTCTAGTTTCTGCCATTTCTCCAGCCTCATTTCAAACCATTTCCCTTTTGAAATTAGGGGGGCACCTTAGCCCCCCCAATCTTTCAATCCACTATATTCCCCTTGTTCCGTCATGCCGCAGGACCTTTGCATAGGCTTCTTCCTCTGCATTGAACTTCACTTCCTCAAGTAAAGCTTTCCTGGTTTTGCTGACCAGGTCAAACCTGCCTCTTATATGCACTTACAACACCATCTTTGTTTTTTGTTGTTGTTGTTGGTTTTTTTTTTTTTTGAGACAGAGTTCACTCTTGTTACCCAGGCTGGAGTGCAATGGCGTGATCTTGGCTCACTGCAACCTCCGCCTCCTGGGTTCAGGCAATTCTCCTGCCTCAGCCACCCGTCTCCCAAGTAGCTGGGACTACAGGCACTCGCCACCATGCCCAGCTAATTTTTGTATTTTTAGTAGAGACAGGGTTTCACCATGTTGACCAGGATGGTCTCGATCTCTTGACCTCGCGATCCACCCGCTTCGGCCTCCCAAAGTGCTGGGATTATAGGCGTAAGCCACCGCGCCCAGCCAACATCTTTATCTCCCCATTGCTTGTCATGGTTTGAACTTTTATATGGTGTGTGTGATTACCAGCAGTAAGCTCCGTGAATACAGACACGGTATCTGTTTTTTCTCATCCTGTGTTCCCAATACCTGCCGCACAGTGGACACTCAATAAATAGTTGCTGAATTCATGAATACATGCTATGTTATAATAGTTTCCAATTGTTTCATATTTGTAGCACTTAGTTATGAAAATTTGGTTCAAGAGGGATCTTAGAGATCATCTTGTTCCTTATTTCCTAACGTTTTTTATTAGAGAAACTCTTTCGCTGCTATGTACTGTCTCTCAAACTCTTTTAACAATTCTTCCTTTTTCTTTTTTTGATTTTATATATTCTCTTATCTTTTGCCTTTTTCCACATGTTCTGAACTTTTAGGAATCTTTTAATTCACTTTGTTATTTTTGCCTAGCATATTGCGAAGAAGTAATTTTTGGTTTAAAAGATTTATTAAAATGTTATGCTTTAAGATTATATTATAAAGTTAATTTGAGTGCATTTTTAAATCTAAACGACTGTTTTTAAAACCTTTTTCCCATTCATAAGCAGTGTACATTGCTTATATTTTTAAAAATTCTGTAAATAAATGTGATTTTAAAAACAAATTATTAAATGAAATACATTTAGAGGACAATATATGTTGAAATTTAACCAGGTGTTATGTATCAAAAATCAATAAAACCTGCATTATAATTTTATGTAGTTCTAATTCTTACATTTTGACCATATAAAAATCAACTTTTTTGTTTTTAACTTTCATACGTTAATTTTAAAATAATGTAATTATGGAAAAGGCCTTAGCCTACTACTTGCAAATACTTCACAAGCATTGCAGTTGTGCAGGCTTAGATCCCAATAAATTAAAAGCCAAAGTGAATATAATTAATTGTATTTTCTCTTGAATGTTGATTTTTTAAAGAATAGATGCATTTTGATGTTCTATATAAGAATTTTGATCAGGCTGGGCGCAGTGGCTCACACCTGTAATCCTAGCACTTTGGGAGGCCAAGGTGTGTGGATCACTTGAGGTCAGGAGTTCGAGACCAGCCTGGCCGACGTGAAACATCTCAATTAAAAATACAAAAAATTAGCTGGGTGCGCTGGCACATGTCTTTAATCCTAGCTGCTTGGGGGGCTGAGACAAGAAAATTGCTTGAACCCAGAGGGCAGAGATTGCAGTGAGCTGAGATTGTGCCATTGCACTCCAGCCTGGGCAACAGAGCGAGACTTCATCTCAAAAAAAAAAAAACAATTTTGATCAAATGAGTACAATTTATAGACAAGCAGCTTGATGTGAATTTGCAGAATTATAATTAACTTTATGTTGTATTTCAACATCTGTATCCTTTATATTCTTTAATTTGGCTAAAATAATGCAGCTGGTTAATATTTAATATTATACACATACTGTTACATAATATATAATTCCTGATCATTGTATTAATTTATCTCTTTTGTCTCCAGTCCTTACCCGCCAACATATATACACATTTAACCTAGACTTTAATATGCAGTAGACCCAGTAAATAAATAAATCAATGGATGATGCTTATTACTTTTTTCCTTAAGCAACTCTCCTCATATTTTGTTTGCTTGTTCTTTATTTTCTAGGAGAATGTGGATTATATGATTCAGGAGCTTCGAAGACCCAAATACAGTATATATTTCATTTGTAAGTTTGTGAGTTCACTTTTTCAAACACATAACAACATCCCAGTTCGTATGTTTCATTTAGCCCTTTGTATCATCAGTTATTTCTTTGAATCTGTTACTATAAAAGTCTAGTTTATTTAATGTCCTTCCAAAGTATTACAAATCTTTTTACCTGACAGGTGCAGTGCCTCACACCTGTAATCCCAGCTCTTTGGGAGGCTGAGGCAGGCAGGTCACCTTAGGTCAGGAGTTCGAGACCAGCCTGACCAACATAGTGAAACTCTGGTCTCTACTAAAAATACATAATTAGTTGGGCATGGTGACACATGCCTGTAATCCCAGCTACTTGGGAGGCTTAGGCAGGAGAACCACTTGAACCCAGGAGGTGGAGGTTGCAGTGAGCCGAGATCACACCATTGCAGTCCAGCCTGGGCAACAAGAGTAAAGCTCCGCCTCAAAAAAAAAAAAATCTTTTGACCAACGTTCTGTTTCATTGGGCTAACTGTGATTTCCATTCATCTTTGATTGCTTACATGTAAAATTTTACACTTTACTTTGCCTTTCAAGATGCTTTGTCAGTCAAAAGTTGTAAGTAGCCAAATTTCACGTCTCATCCCTGCCAAGAAAAAGTATATACTTATCCCTATTTTATACTTAGGAATTGAGGCATGGAAGCTGATTTATTTTTTGAAGTGGGAAGGTAATACTTACTTGAGTTTCTTGGAAAAGCAGAGGTTTACTTTACATACCAGATAAAAGCGTTTCATTTCTCTTTGTTACTATATTTAATGCATTGAAAGTATAAATCATCAGGTAGTGATCTCTTATGTCCACAACTTTCTTGGAGTGGGGGTTGGATAGGGGAGGTCTGGAAATAAACTAGGTTTGTGTTTTCTGTGCAATTTACATGGATTTTTTTGATTCAGTACGTTCGGCTGTGGAAGTTACATCTGTTTTCCTCTAGATGTCATTATTGATCTTTATATTAATAGTATTAATGTAGTCTATTTGGTAACATTTCCACCCCAAAGACTATACTTAACAGTAAGTAGGGCATTTGAGAAGTTTTAAAGCTTACTTAAAGGTATTAGAGTTTTAAGGTTTAGACCACTGTCTAAGACATATATACTTTCTTCAGCGTATACTACTTAAATGGAATAATGATACAAAACATTAACATTTGTAAAAAGATTATATACATAAGAGCTCTCTCATGTTTTATTTTATTCAGTTCTGTGTAGGACTGAAAAGTTATATAAAACTTGCCCAGTGGGTTTTCAGTGCGGCAATGCCCCAAGAGGTAAAAACAGGCAATTTTATTAATCTATGGCATCTTAATTTTTGTTTGTTTTTGTCTGTTTGTTTTTGGCTAATAGTTGCACGTTTTCTTTTTTAAATTAAATTTTTTATTTTGATGTAATTGTAGATTCATGTGCAGTTGTAAAAAATAATAATAATAATACAGAGATCCCAGATACCCTTTACCCAGCTTCCCACTCTGTAGTATCTTACATGACCATAGTACAATATCACAACCAAGACATTAACACTGAAACGGTCAGGATACACAACATTTTCATCTCTATAAGCTTTCCTTATATTTCCCTTTTATTAGCTTATATGCACTTCTCTCCCTCCCCAGTCCCCTCATTAGCCCTGGTAACCACTAATATTTTCTCCATTTTATAATTTTTGTCATTCAAAGAATGTTCTATAAATGAAATCATACAGTATATAAGCTTTTGGGACTGACTTTTTCAGTCAGCACAATTCTCTGGAGAGTCATCCAGGTCGTTGTGTGATTTTGTTTTTGTTTTTGTTTTGAGAAGGAGTCTCACTTTGTCACCCAGGCTGGAGTGCAGTGTCACTATCTCAACTCACTGCAGCCTCTACCTCCTGTGTTCAAGTGATTCTCCCACCTCAGCCTCTGGAGTAGCTGGGATTACAGGTTCGTACCACCACACCTGGCTAATTTTTGTATTTTTTTTTAGTAGAGATGGAGTTTTACCATGTTGGTTGGCCAGACAGGTCTCAAACTCCTGACCTCAGGTGATACCCCCATTTCGGCCTCCCAAAGTGCTGGTATTACAGGCATGAGCCACCGCACCTAGCCTGTTGTGTGTATTAAGAGTTCATTCCTCCTTTGAGCTGGAGCTGCAAAAAATTTTTTTTCAATTTAAAAATAGGTTATTTCATTTTATTGCTGAGTAGTATTCCATGATATGAATGTACCACAGTTTGTTTAACTGTTCACCATTGAAGGACATGAGTTGTTTCTAGTTTTCACTATTACAAATGAAGCTGCTATAAACATCTGTATACAGATTTTTATGTGAACATAAGTCTTCAATCTCTGGGATAAATAACCCCAGGAGTACAACTGCTGAGTCATATGGTAATTGCATGTTTTGTGTATTAAGAAACTGCCATATGTTTTCCTGAGTGACTATACCATATTACATTTTCACTAGCAATGCATGGGTAAACCAGTTTCTTTGCATCTTCGGGAGTATTTGATGTTGACTCTATTTTTTATTTTAGGCATTTGCATAGGTGTGTAGTTATTCTGGTATTTTTAGTATGATCACAAGCTAGATCTCTGATATATTTGTGTGTGTGTGTGTGTGTGTGTGTGTGTGTGTGTGTGTGTGTATATATATAAATCACATATACATATATATCCCCTGTACTGCCAAGTAGACATATATAATAATAGGATTACTCTTTTGCTGAATCTTGTGGCTAAAAACTGAATGGGTCATGAGGTAAAAGACTCCTTTTTCCTCTGAACAGTTCCTTGCAGCAGTTGACATTAATAATGGTTAATCTAGTATTTACTCTTCTGGTTCTAAAGATTGTTTGATTTGGACTGTAAACCTATGAAGCAGAAGAAAAAAATTTATTAAAGTAATTAGCACCAAAGCCTATGAAAAGTAGACTTCAGATTTCTTGGGTGGTATAATCAATTTCAGAATTTTATTTGATTGACGTAAACTAGAATGAATGTGTATGTAGTAATTTTATTCATTACTAACTTGCAGCACTAATTTATATTAACACTAAGCTAGCTTGTTCATCTTATTTTTTATACTTTTAAAAAATATTTTTATGTTATTAAATCTTTTGTGTAACAGGCCCCTCTATTTTAAAAAAAACTTTTTGTAACTTTTATTTCTTAATTTTATTTATTTATTTTTTTGAGATGGAGTCTCGCTCTGTTGCTTAGGCTGGAGTGCAGTGGCACGATCTTGGCTCACTGCAACCTCCATCTCCTGAGTTCAAGAGATCCTCCTGCCTCAGCCTCTAAAGTAGCTTGGATTACAGGTGTGCACCACCACAACTGGCTAATTTTTGTATGTTTAGTAGAGACGGGGTTTCACCATGTTGTCCAGGCTGATCTCAAACTCCTGTCCTCAAGTGTGATCCACCTGCCTTGGCCTCCCAAAGTGCTGGGATTATAGGCGTGAGCCACCACACCCATCCCAGAACTTTTAAAGACATACAAAAGTAGAATAGTATCATAAGTCCCAATGTACCTATCAGCTGGCTTCAACAATTATTGAGCCTCACCCAATCTCATTTTAGCCATATTGTCACCTACTCCACCAGATTTTGAAGCAAATCTAAGACATCATATAATTTTATCCATAAGTATTTCAGTATGCATCTCTAAAAAATAAGAACTCATTGTTTAAAAACCACAATTTCATTATTACATCTAGATAAAAATGAAAAATAATTCTTTATTATCTCCTTTTTCTTTCTTTCTTTCTTTCTTTCTTTCTTTTTTTTTTTTTTTTAGACAGTCTCCTCTGTTACCCAGACAGTGTGCAGTGGCATGATCTCAGCTCACTGCAACCTCAACTTCCCAGGTTCAAGTGATATTGCCCAGGCTGGTCTTGAACTCTTGGTACTATTTTCAGATAACCATTCAGCATTCAAATTTAAAACGATCTTTTTTTTAGTTTTTTTGTTAATCGGGATTAAAGTAAGGTTCACACATTGCTGTTGGTTGATATGTTAAGTTTCTTAACACTCCCTATAGGTCCTCCCACCCCTGCCCCTGCTGCCCCATGCAATTTATTTATTGAAGAAACAAACTGTTAAGTTTTTCACAGCTTGGATCTTGCCAATTGCATCTCCATGGGATAGTTTAACATGTTCCTTGAAGTTTAAAATATTCCTCCATCTTCTAGTTCTTGCAGCTGCTGATGCTAAATGCTTGAGTCCATTCAGTTGATTCATTAGGGGTTAGAAAAAATGATATTCTAATTCTGTCATTAGCATTTGTTTGTTGTTGTGCTGGAATATTTTCATAAAGAAAAATTTTCCCGCATCTATTTGGTTACCTGGTAGTATAGTTTATATGTAAAAGACAGGATAAAAGCTTACTTCTTTCTCCTTATTTGCTATTTTCAATAAAATGACCTGGTTCCCTAGTATTCTCATTCTCCAGTGCCTCTGATGGTGGTCCTTTTAAAGTATATATATATATATATAGTTATGAATTTGTGGATTTAAATATATGTGTGCTACTCATTCCAATTTGAAGGTCACTTATTCATTAGGCTTTAACTAGCAGGCCCATTTACATATAATTGCAGCAGAAATGATCTCCTTTGAGTCAACCCCAACTCGTATGTCTGTTTCAGATTTCAGTAACGTGATCAGCAAGAGTGATGTGAAGTCATTGGCTGAAGCTGATGAACAGGAAGTTGTGGCTGAGGTTCAGGTAAACATATTGGTCCTGTGACACATCTCATATGTTGGCCTTTTTCAAATATTTGAGTCTAAAAATAAAATAAGGAAAGGTCTGTCCCAAAAGACGTTTTATTATGAACACTTGAATATGTTTATCACATAAGTGAGGAATGTTGTTTTCAGAGGCAGCAGATAAACTAGTTTTGAATTTTTCAGAAGGATGTGCTAGGTGATAAATGAATAAAAAGAATGACCTGTTTTAAATTATATTCTCTCTCATGAAAATATATTGGACAGCAAAGTCCTTTCTTATCTGAGTAGAACATTATTATCTCATATTAGCAGTGTTTCATTTTTACTAATTGATAAGTGTGCATAGAGGTCTCCAGAAATATAATGTGTATACTTTTACAACTTTTATTTTTTGGATTTATTATTGCTACTGTTTTGTAATTATTTTAATTCTCCCACATTGACTGTTGTTACTTAATTATTAATTGAACAGTTTTGTATCTCTTTAAACCTGTATTTCACCAAGTTTGGCTATATCATATTATATCACATATGAAAGTATTACTGCTTGATACAATTGAAGTTTATGGAATGACTATTCTTGGTGCTTTATTTGCAGGAATTTTATGGTGATTACATTGCTGTGAACCCACATTTATTTTCCCTCAATATTTTGGGTTGCTGCCAGGTATGGAAGGAAAGGTTTAATTTTTCAGTTGAGAGTTAATTCAGCAAATAGACTCATAAGAGAAAATTAAAATGTTTTCTCTGAATATATGTTTTTAACAAAAAGGGTCGAAATTGGGATCCAGCCCAGCTATCTAGAACAACTCAAGGGCTTACAGCTCTCCTTTTATCTCTGAAGAAGTGTCCCATGATTCGTTATCAGCTCTCATCAGAGGCAGCAAAGAGACTTGCGGAGTGCGTTAAGGTATGGCATTACCTATTCCTGGTTCCAGAACATAAAGGCCATTCATTTCTCTATCATATTTCAGAAACTAAAGGAATATTTTATTTACAACCAAGGAGATGATTATATGTTAGGTTTCCAGGCAAAGAGGTAGGTATATGTAATTTAAAACAAAAAGCAACAATTAGCGCTAAGATTCTTAGGTGGTTTTTTTTGTTGTTGTTTTGTTTTTTTGAGATGGAGTTTCACTCTTGTTGCCCAGGCTGCAGTGCAATGGCAAGATCTCGGCTCACCACAACCCCCACCTCCTGGATTTATTCAATTCTCCTGCCTCAGCCTCCTGAGTAGCTGGGATTATAGGTGTGTGCCACCATGCCTGGCTAAATTTTTTTGTATTTTTAGTAGAGACGGGGTGTCTCCATGTTGGTCAGGCTGGTCTCAAACTCCCGACCTCAGGTGATTCACCCACCTCAGCCTCCCAAAGTACTGCCACCGCACCCGGCCAGATTCTTAGGTTTAACCCAAGAAACATTCACAGGCTATTTAACTTTTTTTTGGTCCAGTTAAACCACTTATAGGATTTCAAATCCTAATCTCTTAAATGGTATACTCTTAAACTTTGTGAGTATTATATTTTGAATCCTTTATATGGAAGATTTATGCGTTGCAAAGAACTATTGTTAAGTGTAGATTTTATTAATTTCCTATTTATATCATCTCTATGTGTAACTAATTGGTTGTGCAAATCATCTTTCTCTTTCACTCACAGCAAGTGATAACTAAAGAATATGAACTGTTTGAATTCCGTCGGACAGAGGTTCCTCCATTGCTACTTATTTTAGATCGCTGTGATGATGCCATCACCCCATTGCTAAACCAGGTACAGAATCCTTTCTTGGCATAATAGAAGGATGATTTTAAGTGATACTCATCAAAATACAGATATGGAAAAAAACAGCATGATCCATTTATTTGCCTCCTTATTTTTAGCTATTCTTGGTTTTGCTTTATATTTCCTGGTGTTTTGGTATCATGACTCTTCCATCCACTGTCGTCATTAACTCTTCTGCCTCATTCCTCCTGTACTTTTCTGCCACTTCCCCCGCCCCTAATCAAGAAAACTTCTTAATTCTGTAGATTCTGTTTTCCAGTGTTTCCTTCTGTCTGCTCATTTCCATTCTTACTGCCATTGCTTTGGTCTAGATCCTAATCTCTTACAAGAATATTGGAATAGTTATCTACTTGATTCCCTACTTTTTATTTCTTTTCACTCCAAATGTTCCATAAATACAATATTATTAAATTATTTTTTCTAAAGCACGGCTCTATCTTGTTACTCTTGGCTTAAAAACATTCGTTGGTTCCCATTTGCCTACTGTGTTAAAAAGAAACTCCTGAACTTGCCATCCAAGAGCCTTCACAATGTGGGCTAAACCTCATAGAAAACCTAGAGCTCACCACTTACGTAAATAATGCCATATGGCCAGCCGGGCGCGGTGGCTCACGCCCGTAATCCCAGCACTTTGGGAGGCCGAGGCGGGTGGATCACGAGGTCAAGAGATCAAGACCATCCTGGTCAACATGGTGAAACCCCGTCTCTACTAAAAATACAAAAAATTAGCTGGGCATGGTGGCGCGTGCCTGTAATCCCAGCTACTCAGGAGGCTGAGGCGGGAGAATTGCCTGAACGCAGGAGGCGGAGGTTGCGGTGAGCCGAGATCGCGCCATTGCACTCCAGCCTGGGTAACAAGAGCGAAACTCCGTCTCAAAAAAAAAAAAAAAAAAAAATGCCATATGGTTTCCTGTCAGCATGCTTTTACTGTGACTGCTTTCCAGACTCTGGAATGATTGGAATACCTTCTCTTCCCATCCTCATCTATCAAAATACTACTCTTAAAACCACTCAATCTGGCTGGGTGCAGTGGCTCATGCCTGTAATTCCAGCAATTTGGGAGGTCAAGGTGGCTGGATCACCTTAGGTCAAGAGTTCAAGACCAGCCTGGCCAACATGGTGAAACCCTGTCTCTACTAAAAATACAAAAAAAAGTAGCCAGGTGTGGTGGTGCACACCTGTAGTCCCCAGCTACTTGGGAGGCTGAGGCAGGAGAATCATTTGAACCCAGGAGGCAGAGGTTACAGTAAGCTGAAATCATGCCACTGCACTCCAGCCTGGGTGACAAAGTGAGACTCTGTCTCCATAAATAAGTACATAAATTAATAAATGAACAAAACAAAATTATTTATATGAATAATCACAAAGAATTTTTAAAAAGCCAGGCGCAATGGCTCACACCTGTAATCCCAGTGCTTTGTAGATCACCTGTAATCCCAAGGCATGTAGATCACCTGAGGTCAGGAGTTTGAGACCAGCCTCACCAACATGATAAAACCCTGTCTCTATTAAAAATGCAAAAAATTAGCCAGACATAACGATGGGAGCCTGTAATACCAGCTACTCAGGATGCTGAAGCAGGAGAATCACTTGAACCTAGGAGGTGGAGGTTGCAGTGAGCTGAGATCATGCCACTGCCCTCCAGCCTGGGCAACAAGAGCAAAACTATGTCTCAAAAAGATACTCAAAAGCCATCTCCAACATCCCACCATTCTTCAGCTTCTCCTTGAAGCCTATGTTCTTTCAGTCAGATATGTTCTTATCTCCTGAAAATCCTGTAGACCTTTGTGTCTCTCTCATGTCTCATGCTATACCTGCCATGTTGTAGCTTTGGTTGTTTACACCCTCTCCTACGTTACATATTTCTTCAAGGCAGACTGTGTCTCACCAGTGTTTTTCTCCTGCAAGTATAAGAACAGTGCCTTGCACATAGCTGGTGCTTTATTAATAGTGATTTTGTATGTATGTATGTATGTGTGTATTTATTTATTTATTGAGACAGAGTCTCTCTCTGTCACCCAGGCTGGTGTGATCTCAGCTCACTGCAACCTCCACCTCCCAGGTTCAAGCAATTCTTGTGCCCCAGCCTCCTGAGTAGCTGGTATTACAGGCATACACTGCCACACCTGCTAATTTATGTATTAAATATTTTTAGGACAGATGGGGTTTCACCATATTGGCCATGCTGGTCTTGAATTCCTGACCTTAAGTGATCCACCCACCTTGGCCTCCCAAAGTGCTGGGGTAGTGAGCCACCGCGCCCTGCTGTGACTTTGTATTTACAGAGAAAGGCAGAGTCTATGTTTCAGTTTCTTCCCCACTTATGCTAATGTTAATCCTAAGGGAAATCTGTGGAATGAAACTTCTCTGTAGTATAAAATAGCCCTGTATTCCTAAAATTCAAAGTACTATATGTTCACTGAAGAAATTTTTGATATCAAAAAGTAGAAAGAAAATTGCTTATCATTCTGTCTCCCAAAGAAAAGCAACTATTTATCCAGCAGATTTCACTGGGGACTTGTTTTGTGCCATGTACTAAACTAAGTACTAGAGATAAAAGGCAAAAGATATAATTTCTGCCCTCAAAGAGCTCATGGTCCAATGATGAGAGAAATAAACATAATTTTAATTATAGAGTAAGTGCTAGAAGCATGCACAAGAAGTTATCCATAAAAGCATAAAACATTTTGTTGTACCTTTTTACAGAGTCTCATTCTGTAGCCCAGGCTGGAAGTGCAGTAGTGTGATCTCAGCTCACTGCAACCTCTGCCTCCCAGGTCCTCATTCAAGCAATTGTCCTGCCTCAGCCTCCCGAGTAGCTGGGATTACACGCACGTGCCGCCATGCCCAGTTAATTTTTGTATTTTTAGTGGAGACAGGGTTTCACCATGTCAGCCAGGCTGGTCTTGAACTCCTGACCTCGTGATCCACCTGCCTTGGCCTCCCAAAGTGTTGAGATTACAGGCGTGAGCCACCGCGCCTGGCCTTGCTGTACTTATTTTAAGTGCCTTACTAGAACTTGCTTTTTCAGGAATTCCTTTGACAAATCTTTTAGGAAGTAAGCACCTTCTTTTATAACCTTCTAAATTATTTCTTAATAAATCTAGTTTTCTTAAGATAAAATATGTATATAAATGTTTCTAGCATTTAGATTTTAGATGCAGAAGGAAACGTACTAGAAAATACTTCATTGTGTCTAATAGACCTATGATTGAAAGTAATCTATTCTCTATAAATGGCGAAAAGGGAAAATTTGAAGATTTCTCATTTCCAGTTTTACCAAATAAATTCACATTTTGTGAGACTAGAAACCAATCCTTCCTCACAACTCCCATTAGGTAAAAATATAAAATAAAATGGATTCAGAGGTAAGTTTCTAAATATGCCAATGTTTTGATCAACTCACAAGGTTTTTCTGATAATATTAGTGTTCCCAGGATAAATATAGTACCACTCAGATCTGCAAGAACACACTTCTCATGCTGCAGAAAACCACAGAAGCATACAGGAAATGGTACAGCTTGTAACTGCAGTACCAATATAGCTCTATCTGTGAAGCCAAAAATATACTCTTAATTCACAGGCAAAAATTGGAGCTAATGATAGCTCTAATTTGTTTTCTTTCTATCAAGAATATTAATCTTGCTGCCCTTGTTCCAGAGTGTGATAGCTGAAAGTATTTTGACTTTTCCTCATTGTTTAACCAATTAAAATGACAATCTTAATGTTTATGATAGCACAAAGTGTAAATAAAATTTAACTAGAGAATCTTCATGTAAATAAGACTAGTTACTAAGAATATTATCAATTTTTATTTGTTTTCCTGAATGTTTACTATTTCCATATTTTGTCAGTTACCATTTCTTTTTCATAATTCTTTATTTAGTGGACATATCAGGCCATGGTCCATGAACTGCTAGGCATAAACAACAATCGGATTGATCTTTCCAGAGTGCCGGGGATCAGTAAAGACTTAAGAGAAGTGGTCCTATCTGCTGAAAATGATGAATTCTATGCTAATGTAGGTGGTTTAAAATTTTTTTTAATTGTGTTTAGTTGTTTTTATGTAAGAAGATGAGTATTGGCTTGTTAGTATGGTGGCAGGCATGGGATTTCGTGTGAAAGGATGATAGAGGTATCCTATGGATAAACTGTCTTTTGAGGGAAGGCAGAAGACTTGGATTCTGACCCTTTAGCAATATTTTTTTCATGGAGATCATATAGTTATTTACTTCTCTCCCCTCCAATAGCTCTTTGTGAGAATAGTAGTGATATTCCTCACCAGTATCCTGGCTAATGTCCAAATTTGGTAATTAAAATAGAATTTCCCTGCCCTCCAATTCTGTGTTCA